CTACCCTCACACTGACAACATACTCGCCGCTTCCCATTCGGGTTTCACTCGAGCTATGGCCTGGTGTGGTGTGGTGTCACTCACCTGATGGTTTGTTTTCTCAGAGTATGGCCACCAGTCCACTTCCATTTCTTCTTGCAAATTTGTTGTACAATTGGTTCCTGCTGGGTTGGTTCGCTCCCAGAGATCACTCGCTATTGCTGATCATTTCTGGCCATCTGATCCTGAGTAGTATTGAGAGAAGACAGCTGTTGATGAAGGTCTGTAGTTTGTTTACAGTGACCTTTGTGACGCGCTGGGCAACTCTCTGATCCGAAAAGTAGCACTGATTTCACAGTGGAGTTGAAAATCTGGATATTATTTTCATTTTCATGCTCAGTGATTTTGACCTCCACACAGACTTGCTTTCCCGACCCTCACTTTGATATCCTCATTAGTTCTTTTCGCGTGTAGTGCTTCCCAGGTAGGTTAAAGGAGGTTGTTTCTTTCGGGTTCCTCCCATTTATGCTGATTGTTGTTTGTTGATGTTGTTTTTGGGCAGGAATCTTAATCACCTGTGTTTTCTCTATGTTCACGTGGAGTCCTATCTACTCTGGATGCTTCTTCTATAGCCAACTTGTTACTTTTCACTTGCATGTCTTCCAGTTTGTGGGAAATCAAACATGTATCATCAGCAAAGTCCAGATCCTCCAAGTTTCTTGTATGGGTCCATTTTATGCCTGTCGCCTCGTTGTCCCGCCAGCCGCTGTCTGTCGCATTAACCAGTCTACTACAATCAGGAAAATTATTGGATAGTAGGAAGTCAGCTTGTTTTATTCCCATTTTCACTTTGATGGATTCGGAAAGTTTCCCGTTGTGGATTACTTGGCATGCAGCATTGTCGTGCAACTGTTGGATGAGATGCATAATTTTTGACGGCACCCCGTAGTATTGAAGTAGTTGCCAAATGACCTCTCGATCGACGCTGTCGAAGGCCTTTTGAAAGTGAATGAAGTTGAGATAGAGAGGTGACTACCATTCCAAGTTCTGTTTAATGATGATCCATAGTGTTGCGATTCCATCTGAATCTAGCCTGCTCCCGTCGAAGTTTTCATTTGTTTTCGTCGGACGATTGATGTCCACTAGAAGTTCTGCCACTGTTCCACTGTTGGTATTATGCGGCGTGTTGTAGGTGGTGATCGATTTAGAAGTCTTTTAAAATGTTCAGCCCAGTGTTTCCCTTGTCTCCGCCAACCAAAAAGTATAGCAGTCTATTACTGAGTAATAGGGGGTGACAAAATTGATATAGTTACTCAGAAGTGGCATTAGAAGTAAAAATAAAAGTTGTAAATTACGTGTGCGTCGGTGGCACAGTGGTTAGGACTCTCGCCGACCATGCACACTGTCTGAGGTTCGATCCCCTGCCGACGCACAACTGATATCTATGGTCGGCCTGCGAAATTTGGGCTACCGATATCCATGCTAAAAATTCCATACTTGTACCAAAAATACAGTGTGGAATCAAGCTGCAAATCAAAAAAAACAACACAAAGAAGGAGAGGATTAGAAATTTGAGAACAAAGGTACTTGAGTGTCAATTTAACAAGTGTGAAGACGGTGGGAAAATGTACAAAAAGAACAAATGAAAGTAATAATAGTGAATTAATTATCAAAGTAAAAACAAACTAAAAGCAAAATTGAAAAATGAATTTTTTTTTACATGGAACGATTAGTGAAGAGGTTAAGACCATGGCAGAATAAGAGACTGAACAAACGTATTTTGTACAATGAGTTCAGCGTTGTGTTGATGTATATTGTCAACGCCTCCACCATACACAAATGCCGAAACCTGACGCCCTTTGTATAATTTGACCTCAGCTTGTAGATAATCTTGAAAGACGACTCCGGTGGAGATATGTGGCCTGAGTTCACCATGTACTCGGGAATCGAGCTAGTAATTGTCTTTCATTGTCCCTTTGCTAACCAAGCCGGATAATATTCAGAGATGCGTTTGGAAAGTGTGCGCTTTGTGAGGCCAGCAAAACTAAAACTACTGTGGTGAGAGCAGGCTGCTAGCCAATTGGTAAACATTAATTTACGTCAATGTCTAGGTGGCTAATATTGGCCGTGAGAAAATATGAACAAGACTGGTTGAACAACCAATCACAGCAGACTTAACGTGGGCAAACAAGATTCGCAGATATATGGCTTAACTTTCTGAGAAACCAGTCACAAGCAGTACAGAATAACCTTGAGCAAGAAACAACCGATCAGAAGACTGTGTTTGTCAGCTTCAATAAGCTATAATAATGTAGACGAAATATGTATAAAAAAGTTCTGATTTCCTTAATAAAACGATCTGTTGCCTGGCCCTTGTCTTCTGTTGTTACACTACCACTAATGTTATTCTCAATTTAATTCAACTCAGTTTAAAAGTCACTTATCGGTTCTGTATGTATAACAAATTCTTCGCCTTAGATAGTCAGTATCTAGTGCGTCAAATGCTCAATGGTAGGATACTCGCCAATCACGCATATTAGTATGGATACGATTTCTGATTGAAACAGTCTTAAATCTCGCTAGTTTACAAGCTGGAAAAGAGGGAAGAGTCAACGTGAGGTTAGCAACCCTACCCGTACAAACAAGACCACTGAAACTGCTGCAGAAACTGCAAATTTTGAAGACCCATGTTCATCTCTCTCCTACCTATTCTTCTTTACTGTTCACCCCTGCTTATTCTTTCCTGGATTGCTTAAAAAAGACGATGTCATAATTCGTAAGACGAGTGGTATCCCATTGGGCCATATCGTTGACATTGTCACAGATAGGCACTTGATGTCATGCAACAAATTTGATAAAGGAATTTTGTCAGACTCTGAGCATCCACTCTACCCGCAGCTCCAACCTTGTGTGTCCTTAGGTAAAACAAGAAGTCTTTTCAGAAGACTTTATGTACGTACGTCTAAGTATAACAATTCCACTATACCATATTTGGCGGCACGTACTTTATGTGATAAAAATAGTATCTGGCATGAACTAACTAACCTTTTTTGCACTACTAAATAAACCATTTCCTCCACCCTTACAACATTCACCTTTATTGTTATTGTTCTTCTTATATTTATAATCCTCTCAATTTTTTTGTTTCTATTTGTTTATTTTTTTCATAATTGTGAACATCATTTAAGCTGTGTGAATAACTGCTAATTTTGCATTTCCCCTCACCATACTGCTATATCAACAGGACATTAGATTCAATACTCTATAATAACATGCTAAAATTTCCAGACTGAATCGACAATACTGTTTGAAACAAACTCACTGTTATTGTTATTATTATAATATTTAATATTCTCGATTCGTATTTCGAATATTTTTGACTTTATATCGTAAATGTGGACAACTTCCTCTGGTTAATTTTACCTATATTTTGAGTAAATCAGATGCACGGTGTTGTGACCAATGCTGAGGATTCCATTCTGTATAATAAGTGCTGTTTTTAGAATAAAGCGGATTATTATTATTATTATAATTATTATTGTTATTATTATTATTATTATTATTACTGTACGAACTGATTCTCCCCCATAATATATAAACCAATATTTTCCTATAGCTGGATCCCACACAGTATTTTGGTACAAGTACGGAATTTTCAACATGTGATATTCATAGAGCAAATTAAGAAGACCGACCATTGATATCATGTGTGCGTCGATAGGGATCGAATTCCGGACCATGTGTATCAACGTAAACATCTCCAACAAAGTATAAATTAGTTACAGGACTTCTTCATGAGCCGACACATTGGTTAGAGAACTATTGGAAAACATGCAGGGAGTACTACCAGACAGCTGTTTCTTCCCACTAGTTTGGGAGTCTTCATTAGTAGGCACCCACCCCATTCGGGTTCGAACCTAGAACATTCTAGTTACAAGGCGAGCGAGCTTGCAGACCAATAAACCACTGGGCCAATTCATGACAAAGCGCAACCGGCACTAGCCAACGTTATCACTGTCAGGTATTTGACCTCACGCCCTGCCTACTTCACCCTGTAACCAATCTAGATACGATGGAGGAGATTTGCAGCTCAGGTGAATAACTTTGATGTAGTTGTGTTCTCTGAGCAGCTAGATAGTTAATTTGCGAAGCTTTCATTGCTCTCTACTAGGCAACATGTTCAGCCCACACTACGTCAATTTATTGAAGTGAGCTTTTATATTTCTCCACGAGCTTATTAGTCATCTCTCCTGATGACTTGACCTTACACATGATTCGTTGTTTTTGTGTGTTTTCATACTCTCTAGGGAGCTACTTGTATTGGCCAAAGTGGACAACGTCCTCTTCGTCTTCGTATCCATGAACATAAACTAACTAGCCTTCAAAACACATGACATCCACTCCCTCACTCATATCGCCTAGCTGCATACAGACAACCACGGACATTAACTCGACTGGGACAACCAACGTACGAATATCAGACAGAGTACACAACACCAAGAATGCCAGAGAATGGGTTTAGAAGATTGACTGGTGGTATTCCAGTGAATCGTCAATTAATAATAGACACACAGTGACATACATAAAAAAAATCGACCCATCGATAAGAAGGAAATCTCATACACGAAAGGTCAAACTTCGGGTCAAGGAAACAATAAGTACTAATACCGATACAAGTAGCCGCCTTTAGAGGGTGCATAAAAACAGGCGAAAACAACGAATCACGTTCAAGGTCAGGTCACCAAGAGAGATGACTTATGAACTCGTGGAAAAATTGAAGTATGCGTTAAAGATGTTGCCTAGTAGTCTACTGAAAGCTTCGCAAATAAACCATCCAGCTTATACAACACACCTACATCAAAAAAAGTCTGTAACCAATCAATTAAATCCCTTCAAAACAAATCCTTGAAAGCATCTTAATATGTAAACAACAGCCTTATAGCTAAAACAGGAAAGACAATAATATTTTTCAACTAAAATAAAAATAAAATTGAGAACAAAGGAAAGTTTTATATACTTACCTCTTCTTAATATAATCTGAATGTAAACAAACATCTTTTAACAAAGAAGAAAGCTCTGTTAAAACTGTTCGAGAAAATTGACATGATCTATCTAAAGTATAACCAATATTTATCACAGATGATGACGCTGATGTTGTTGGCTGATTGGAAATCGATGAATGTGTACAATCACTATCATTATTATTATTGTTATTATTATTATTATTCTCATCAACCAATGAACAAGCATTATCTTCCATCAATACATCCTTCGTGTCATTATCCTCTTGATTATTAATTATTATTTTTTCATCTTCTTTGTGTTGTTTTAATGCAGTTGCTTTGATTCTCTCGGAGAAATTGAATCTTGAACGTTTACGCGGTATTTTTGAATTTTTCAATCGGACAAGACATGAATGAATAGAAGATGATGATGAACAAGACGGAGATTTCTCTAGATAATTTATTAGAGCATTAAAATCTGTTTGAATAGAATTATGCGAGAATTCTACGCTAATACACATAATATTCGATTCTTGATCATGATTTGGATTAGTTGAATGTAATCCATTCGTTTTAATTGACTTTAATTCAGTATCATTTCGTAGGGAATATATAACTGGCACCTAAAGCAAACAAGAGGATAGAATAAAATATATGACTTCTTGACACATACAAACTCAATAGTTGGTTTGTAAGAGTTAGTTTTGTTTTTACAAGTTGATCATGGATTGATATCAGTTAGAGAGAGAACCATTGAAGACCAGCACTGGAGTAGTGCCAGACAGCTGTTTCGTCAGCCTAGTTTGGGAATCAACACCATTGGAACCCGATTCAATATATAAACTCACTAGTAAATGGAATAAAATTCACATTTGAATCGGAAAATGAACAAGGAGAATTAGCTGTCACGTTAGATTGTTAAATAAAACGAATCGAAGAAGGTAGACTGAACACTAGTGTTTATAAGAAACCTACACATTCTAATAGGTAATTAGACTTTAATTCATCTCATCCGTTATCTGTCTATGAAGTCAGGCTTAGTTAAGTGTCTAACGAATCCCAACAGCACCATTAAGTAGTACATAAAAAGACCTAAACGATGAAATGAAACAGATAGAAGAAGAAGAGGAGTTGGTATTAAATAAGCATCCTATAAAATTCATTAGGAAGATCAGAAAAGGTCAAAAGTAAAGTAAAAATGATGGTGAAACTAATAATGATAACATAATTAAGAGAGAATATGAGGCATCTACTGTTATACCATATAAGGAAGGAACGTCTGAGACGCTACGTAGGATTCATAATGAAGCAGGAATTAGGGTGGCATTTAAACCTACAAACTCACTCAGAGACAAGTTCTGTAGACTAAAGGACCCTGTGGACTCAATTAAATGAAATAATATAATTTACAAAATACCCTTGCAATGACTGTGAGTTAAGTCAACTACATAGGTCAAACTAGCATATGGCGGGGTAGTCAGATTGCCTGTTTGAACATAAGAATTTAGGGAAAATTAGAATGATTGATCTCACATCCGAAGTAAAGTAATTTAGAAGAAAACTCAGCACTACATTGCACTGCATGTATCAACACACAACCACACATTAAGATGGGTGGGAGAGAGTTAAAACTCTAAGAAGTAAAACAGGTAAGTGGAAACTAAGCGAGGTTGATTTTTTCCAGGTCAGGCTGGAAAAAAGCTAGCGGCGGTCAAACAAAACTTGGCCTCACCAGTCAATGAAATCCACAACAGGTGGTCTAAGCCACGTAGGAAGGTGCAGACTGGCTTCCTGGTTGGGGTCCTAGGGACGGTAAAAACCAATGGTTGGAAACAATTGGTGGCATGGCTCAAAATCGTTCTCTGTGGCTGGCGTAGATGCATCCACTCCTTGTGACTTATGATCTCCAATGAAACTGTTTTGTTTTTCTTTATTACTCCTTTGTCTCACACCTCTGCTCACTGTCTCTATTACGCTTTTCTTGTACTTTCTTCTCTTGCTTCGCGTGCTACACGAGTGTGGCGACTTGAACTTCCGCACATATGTGCAAAGTTCTATGTCGAAAACAGACAGACAGACAAGAGAGGTTGATTACTGAATCCTGTCCAGTTCATCGAGTTTACACCCAACACAACACATGCAATAGAAGTGACTCAACGCAATTACCAGTGATATAGAAGATATTATTACCACCAGTCAAATCAGAGGAGGATAGTAAATAATATTAAAATGTATTCAATTCAATTTACATTCTATCAAGTTATTTATTTATTTTACTATAAAAACAGTTTATTTCAAATCTTATTGTATTTTACTGATAACATTAATATTATTATTTCCGAATGTACTTTATCATCTTACATTACTGATTTTATTCAATCAAATGTCTAATCGCATCAATCTTTACTTATGTATATAAATGAGGCAAGAAAGTTGTGTGAGTGAGTGCCTTGATAATTTGTGCTCGAAGCGTGGTGGTATCCGTAAATATTACTTACTGTATAACAACACACTGTGTGATTTTATCAAAATAAAATCTTATCTATAATGGAGTATATTTCCATACCTGGAAGGTTTCTTTTAGCTGTTTGAATTCATCATCAACACTATCTTCACTACACATTCTCCGGACTGTCAAACTTTAACACACACACACAAAAAAAAACTGATTGTTATTGTCGATTGTAATTCATAAATATATACGATTTTCTTTAAATATTCCCAATTATAATATTAGAACAAGACACATATAAGCGAACAAGACTGTGCGTCGGTGGCACAGTGGTTAGGACTCTCGCCGACGCACACCTGATATCTATGGTCGGCCTGCAAAATTTGGGCTACCGATATCCACGCTGAAAATTCCATACTTGTACCAAAAATACAGCGTGGAATCAAGCTGTAATCAAAAATAAAAAAAATCTTTTTCAGGCTTTACTCTAATTTATAGAGATTTTGATATAAAAATTTTAACCAATGACGTTGATTTTGTGGATCAAATAATAATAATAATAATAATAATGCGGTAAATGTTTTGAATGTAGTTAATAACGATGATTATAATGATAACAAAATATTGATAATAAGGTTTATGCAGGTGGTGATAAGAATAACAAAGGTACTATATGTATATATGTGTATATGTAGACAATTCAATAAATAAATAAATTAGGTTAAATCTTAAAAGTTACGTAATACTAACTGTAGGTGAAGTGGACAGATAATCAGAGTTCAAATAAATATCATAAAAATACAAAAGAGATGGAAAATAAGAAAGGGTGGGAGGGTTTTGGATAGAAGTCACCTAGACCAGGCAAGGGAGAGACAAAGGTAGAACAAACTTCTTTTGTTGTATGCAACCACTAGGATTGTTCTCTCGAATTTCCCCAAATAGCTTCGGCTATGTGTAAAAGACGGATTCGAATTCTGTTCGAAAAGTTCGATGGAATGCGATAGATAACTTTGAAGGCACTACTTTTGTCCACTTGGTGACCGCTATCACAATCAAATGAGCCAAAATAGAACTTCTTATAGATTTTATTTGACCTTTTCCGAACTATGAAGGAAGATACTCATTAATGCGTTTGTTAAGCTGCCTAGTTGCTCGCCCTATATAGCTTTCTCCACAGGAGCAACTGAATTTATAGATACACATAGATGTGGCCCAGCTAGATAGCTTGTCTTTCACTTGAGCAATCATAATTAGTCGGTTGGAAAATGACAAACAAAGGGTGGCAGTAGTATAAGTCCGTTTTATCGCTCTCGATAATCACAGATGTAAGACTTCACTAGCCACGTCCCCATTAAATTGCAATTTCATAAACAGTTGTTTCTTTTTAACTGTTGTAGGTTTCTCTTTTTTTGTACCTAGTGTTCATGTGTCTTATTATCAATATTTTGTTATCATTATAATCGTCGTTATAAACTACTCTTTCAAAACATTTACCACATTATTATTATTATTATTAGTTGATCCACAAAATCACCGTCATTGGTTAAAAATTTTTTATATATAAGTCTATGTAAATTAGAGTAAAACCTGAAAAAAAGGATCTAATTGAAAACAATCTTGCTCGTTTATATGTGTCTTGTTCTAATATACGGTTGTACAGCTGTAAGAATGACATCATCGAAAACAGAATTTTCCTCGCTGAATTTTTTCGTTTTTAATTCGAATAACAATAATAATAATAATAAAAGTGTACTTACTTATATTACCCAAATAACTGAAATATATTCAACCTTAATGCGAACAATTAACTCACCTTCAATAATTCTGATAATTTTGGTTCGACAATCCATTTCCATACAGTTTTAACTGGTACTGTATGTGACCGTAATGTACTAATATCACTCTGGGTGAATAGAAATGACTGACCATTCTGTTTTTCATCAATGTCTTTATCACTACTATTACCAATATTATTATTATTATTATCATTGCTACCAACGGTTATTAGAGATAATAGTTCATCCCATAGAAATTGTTCACGTATAGTAATATTGACTGGTTCAGTGACCTTTAAATAAGATAGAATAACAATAATAATAATAATAATAAAATAACAATAATTGATTAAATCTATAAAGTTATATTTGTAAAATCTCAGCGAAATTGAAATGATTACTTCCAACGTTTCGTTCGGCAATCTGGTCCGAACTTCTTCAGGGAAATTAATCGAAATTAACATAACAAAGTTTATATATATAAAAGGGACACATCTTGTTTTTAAAATTCTTGTCCAATCATGAGTCATGCAACAGGTATCAATATGTATAATAAATAAATAAACAGAATTGTATGTTTATATGAAAGTACATCTCTTATTTTTAAATATGAATCAATAGGTATACTAAACAAAACAAAACAAAAATTGTATGAACTATGATCAAAAACTTTTTGACCTCAGACTTTCAAAATTTGTCTACTTTTGTTAAAATATATGTGTATATGCAGTATATGCAGGATACAATGGTGTGTGTGTGTCGGTGGAACAGTCATAAAACATTTGCTATTCTCATATGAGCTGTGATCAAGATTTGACCGGATAGTTACAAAATAATTGACATTTTTATAAATATAATTTAATTCTTATAGATTTGTTATTCTCTCCATAAGAAGACGTAGACAATCGGGAATTTGACCAAGTGTGACTACTTGATCATACATATCAAATTTTATTTTGTTTATTAGTCAGGATTTGCCATGCATCGGCTAACATCACACCTTCATGTCTGTTTAAACTGTTGGGATTCACCCAGATTGCCGGACGAAACGTTGGAATTAATCATTTCAATTTCGCTGAGATTTTACAAATATAAATTTATAAATGTCTACTTCTCACTCAGCGCTCAATTATTTTGCAACTATCCGATCAAATCTTGATCACAGTTCGTATGAATTGATTAAATCATTAGAATTATTATTTTCAAAAGTTGGTTTGTAAGGATTAGATTTTTTTTTTACGAGTTTGACCAAAGATTGATTAATGAAAACAAAACATGTAGATCAGCGAAAAGACTCTTTTCGGAGAATTCATTTCCTTAGCTGTACAATCGCAAATTGATATGTGTTATTGAAATGGAAAATGAGTCAAAAATTCCGTTTCTTGATGTGGAACTAACAAGAAGTAACTGATGTGAGCCTAAGAAGATCGATCCATAGAAAACCTACGTGGAATGGTCAACTAACACAAGCTTCTATAGCTGGGTACACATTCAACAAAAGCGGAATTTAATTAAATCACTTGCCAGCCGCATCCCACGATGCATCTGTAGTCCCGACGTTCTGGAAACAGAATTAGATATTCTAAGAGAAATCTTCATCAAAAATGGATACCCAATGAGATTCCATTATGGGTAAATTTTTGTTTTGATAAATAAAATCTCACAGTGTTGTACAGTAATGTTTACTGATGACGTTTCGAGCACAATTTATCACTGCTCATAATCATATCAAGGTACTCACAAGACTTTCTAACTTCATTTATATAGTTCCATTAGGAAGTCGTGTGAATACCTTGATATGATTATGAGCAATAAATTATGCTCGAAACATTACTGTGCAACACTGTGAGGCTTTATCAAAACAAAAATTTACCTATATGGAATTATACTCTACCACAATGCACAAGTTTTATTCTTATACCCAATGAGATTCATTGGCAAAAATATCAAACTAATAATTCGGAGGAACGAAACTTTAATAGCGCCTAAAAAGAAACTCTACCTTAACTTGGATTTCAAGGGAGATTTAGCAAGCGATATTCTCAAGAGAAGGATCACATCATCTCTGAGAAGAACATTCTTTGCAGCAACGCTATGAAGAGTGCTCTCCAGTCGCCCAATGATCTGAAGAAGCCTCAAGGACAATATCCCGGATCTGACCATTTCTATGTGCATAGATCAGTTGACCTGCTGGTGTGGAGCCAGCCAGGTGCATCGGTCGTTCGACACGCACCCTGTCCAAGAGGACTCAAGAACACTATCCAGCCAGTATGGTTGCGAAAAAGCAATAGTAGTACAATAAGGGGTGTGATAATTGAACACCTGGTTAACACTAATCATTCCATTTCAACAAACGCCTCCTGCTGCAAAGTAATCTACAGAGTCAAGAATAATCTACCAAAGGCAATAAGGTTTCGTCTTCTTTGTATCGCTGAAGCTCTGGTCATTCACATAGAAAAACTGGAGCTGTGAATACAAAAGAAGATTACTCAACCACTTTTACTGTCATGGTAACAACTTTTTTTAAATTTTTTTTTATTTCGATGACTTCATTTTGTTTCTTTGCCTGTTCTTTAATGCTTAGAATTTTTGTATTCATTCAGCACTCTTATGCAATTTCGTATTCTCTACCTTGTTCCTATGTGCATCCTGAGTAAGACTCATTCATCAAACTATTCATATTTTTAAATAACTTCTTTTTTAACAACTGTTTGTGACAACTCATCACCTTTGTTACTAGCCTAATTTCATTAACACCTAACTTTCTTGACTTGTATTACCAATCTTCACCTGTTAGTTAAAACAACCATAACCAATTGTAATTTTGTTTGACAAACTTAATGTACACATACATAGAAAATAACACATATATATTTGCGATTGTACAATTAAGAAAATGAATTCGCCGCCGAAAAGAGACTCTTCGCTAATCTACGTGTTTTGTTTTCATTGATATCAGTTAGAAATAAAACCATTGAAAGTGAATTGTTTGGTGGTCGCCCTGAAATCACGTATTGGTAGAAATTAGAGTTCATGGGTTGGCCAGTGATGAATCAGGTCCCAGTGGCTGAATGGTATACGAGCCAGCTTTCCTTGTAACCGGAAGGTTCTGGGTGTTTAACCCTGGTAGTAGGTGCGTACCACCAATGATTCCCAAACTAGGCTGACGAAACAGTTGTCTGGTAGTAAGTACTTCAGTGCTGGTTTTCAATGGTTCTCTCTAACTGATATCAATCCGTGGTCAAAGTCGTGAAAATAACTATTATTCGTAATTTTAAAAACACAATTTATGTCATAGTTGAAACTAATTGGTGTATGGCGACTAGCAGCGGAATCCACTTAATGCGCATTTCGCACCACTATTTGGGACACGTAAGTTAACTGGATGTATCTGCATTCCCCAGTGAGTGATGATGTTCCCACCACCGACGATCGAACTCAGTGCCCATAGATTTAAACGTCGAAGCGTTATCCAGTAGATCACTTGGGCCACGAGATTTTCCCGTCGATTGATTGTACAGAAGTGCTCAGTCTCCAGTTGACAAGTCGGCTTCTTGCGAATCCTGGATTCCACTGCTAGTCACCAGCCACCAATTAACTTCTAATTACATGCCAAGACATCGTCGTCGAAGCATCTGCACAAGAAGCCAACCGACATGTCAACCTGAGACTGAGCACTTCGGTCCAATCAATCGACGAGAAAATCTAAAATTGAATGAAAAAGTTTACAGTTTTCAACTTTTGATATCTCTTATTTAATGATATCATGTTACAGGATTTCATCACGAGATGACATTGGTTAGAGAAACATTGGAAAACCAGCTGGGAGTACTGCAAGACAGCTGTTTCGTCCTAGTTTGGGACTCTTCATCAGTACGCACCTACCACAGGAGGTTAGAACCCACGACCTCATGGTTACAAGACTAGCGAGCTCGTAGACCATTCAACAGCCACTGGGACCCGATCCAATGGCCAGTCCATGAATTCTAACTTCTGCCAATTCACGACTGATATGTATCCACATGATGTGTGTTTTGTTTTTGACAGTCTGTTATATTTTGCTATGTGTATATGGGTCGATATTCCATTATAACTGACATTATGCTTTTGTCTGTCCACTAACTAAGTAAACAATGTATGACCTTGTTGTCACATGACATTGCAACCAACCATGTTAAGACTATCTACTTATTGGTTCATGTGTATTAGTCATTTTTATATATACTTTTGTACTGGATTCTTGTTCATACTTTGCCGTACATTTCGTACTTATTCACTCACACACTTGTGTGACATTTATTTTCCTTGTCTGGAAAATAAAAGTACCATCGTAAACCTGGTGGTCTTCTGATTTCCCTCTTTCCGCGTCAGGACTATTAACTACTCAACGAGCAGTACATAACATAATTGGCGACGGGGAAAACTCTGATAACTCACTCAGCAGCAGTACATAAGAACGACACAGCGCGTCTACTAGCCAATGTCATCGCTGGCGAGTATTTGTCCTCATACCCGACCTGCTGCACCCTACTGGCCACGACTTCTCACTAGAACCCCAGTTCTACGAGCTGGCCTTGTAACCGAAAGGTCCTGGTTTCGAACCCTGGTGGGTGCGTACTGGTGAAGAGTCACGAAATAGGGCGAAACCGCTGTCCAGTACTCCCAGTTGGTTTTCCAATGGTTCTCTAACCAATGTCAGCTCATGATGAAATCCTGCAACCAATGAAATCCCTACACACCAACACTTGGCTATAATGTTAGGCTGGTTGAGAATGTATAGTAGTATGGTGAATATACAGAACCACTGGTATAAAAGCACATAGAAATGACCACCTCCAGTGTATAACGACAACAACAACGCACATACAAACACATTGACAAAAACAAATACAAACATTCAGGGGAAATTCTTAAGAACTGTGATCAAGATTTAACCGAATAGTTTCAAAATAATAATTGGGCGCTAAGTGAGAAGTAGAAATTTGTAAAATCTCAGCGAAAATGAAATAAGTAATTCCAACGTTTTTGTGTTCGGTAAACTGGCCGGTTCGAACTTCTTCAGGGAAATTAATCGAAATTAATATAACAGAGGTTTATATATATATATATATAAAAGGAACATCTCTTGTCTTTAAAAACCTTTGTCTACTCAGGTTGCTCTACAATTATAAATCCATTAATTTAAGCATACAATAGTCAGTCAGCCAGTAAAGGCGAATTAGAATCCTATCAGAAATGTATATCGTTGACCATGTATATTCAAAAACTAACTGACTATTGTTCCATCTCATCTTAATTATAATTGTTCCACAAATACACTTTCTGATATGACTCTAATTTGCCTTTACTGCCTGACTGGTTATTGTATGCTTAAATTAATGGAATTGTAATTGTAGAGCCTGAAGAAGAATTTATCGAAAACGACAACTGTTCACTCTACTATTTTTCTTCTGAATAAATAAATTATGGAAATATTCAAGTTACAAACAGAGTGTACTTTTATACAATGGTGTATGGTGGCTAGCAGTGGAATCCAGGATGCGCATTTCGTCCTATTTGGGACTCATCATCTGGATGTACCTGCATTTCTCAGTGAGTGATGATGTTCCCATCACTTAGGCTCAAACCCAGTACCGAGCACTTCGGTCCAATCAATCGACGGGAAAATCAAAAATTCAATTCAAGAGTGCACTTTTCATTAGAATTTCTAGTGATCACGTTCGACTAAAAGTTCATGGTCATAGATACCTGAATATGAAAAATATATGAATGTACGTGCGATATATATGATGGTGTGTGTATGTGTGTATGGGTGGTAAACAGTTGTAAAACCTCTCCATAAAAAAATAAAGGTTGTTTTTCTATTTACCAATGAATGAAAAACAAAACGATATTTTTGTTTTTACTGATGTTTTCCTATTTAATTCTGCTGTTAATAGCTTTATCAAAGTAGTAATATTAAATCAGAATTTACAAAATCTCAGCTTATTTATGCATAACAACTTGATCATCGTTCCTCAGCATGGGGGCATTTTTGCGTTGACAAGTTGGCCTATTGGTAAAGATAACAGAACCAGCTGTAAATTGTAGTAAAATTATAAAACCAACGTGTGTTTACATAATAAAATTGCTTATCAATCACATCCATGTTGATTTTGTCATTTCATGGGGGAGGGAGGTGTTGTAACCAGGTCAAATTCTGTTTTAGTCTATCATTCCTATTCAGAAAATTTGGATTCCATTTCATGATATGAAGTGCTTCTGATGTTATTAGACGTTTCTTGTGATTTCTGAAATTTTTCTGGGTTGTTTCAATATTGTCAAAATCAATTTCGTGGCTTGATTCTATAGCGTAGCGTGTAGACGACCTATAGCTGATGATTTTTCAAGCTATTCTAGTTCAAGTAGATTTTTCGGTGGTTGAACAGATGTCCTACGGTGTTCATTTCTTCTGATTTTTATTTCCCACGAAGTTTGTCCGATGCATCACATTCCAAGCATTTTATTTTGTAGACACAATTAGACAGAGAATCCTTAGGGACTTCAAAAGGTGACCAACCTAGTGATATCGTTAAGAGGAGAATTCCCACTTCTCTAAGAAGAACTTTCTTGGCGGCAACACTGAGATCAGTGTTCTCCAGTTGCCCACTGATATGTGGAAACCCGAAAGATAAGATCTCGCACCTGACAGTTCACCTATGGCTGTGGAGCTAGGTACACCGGTCGTTCAATGTGCATCCTGTTATAAAGGGTCAAAGAACACTATCCAGCGTGGCTGCAGAAAGGAAGTAGTGGCCGTATAAGGAACGGAGTCATCGAACATCTCGTCACCATTGGTCATTTCCTCTCAACAACAAATGCCCCTTTCAAAGTAATCTACAAAGCGAAAAACAACCTGCCAAGGACAATACGTTCCTGTCTTCTTTGCATTGCGGAAACCTTAGCCAGTCAATTTGAAGAACCAGAACTATGTATAATAAAGAAAATTATTCAGTCACTTCTACTATCGTGGTAGTAACTCTGTTGATTCGACTTAACTTTTGCCTGTTTGCTTGTTTTTTTTCTAACTACTTAAGACTCCTTCCGTAATTCCGCATTTTATTTCGTTTCCATGTACACCCTGAGCACAACTCTTCCATCAAATTCTTCTTAATCAATCGGTCTTCTCTCTATTAATTTTGATGCTCCCTAGCGACTAGCCCTATTCAAGCAGTCAACTTGGGGTTCTAGTGGGAAGCTGTGACCACTACGGTGCAGCAGGTTGAAGGTGAGGCGGTAATGCATTGAAAAAGATATTGCGAAGTGTTCACGCTATGTCATGAATTCGCAGAATTTAGAATTCATGCCCCGCTGGATCGGGTCTCACTGGCTTAATGGTCTGCAAGCTTGCCTTGTAACCAAAAGGTCCTGAGTTCGAACCCTGGCGATGGGTGCACACTGATGAAGAGTCACGAACTAGACAGACGAAACAGCTGTCTGGCAGTACTCCCGATTTGGTTTTCCGATGGTTCTCTAACTGATGTCAGCTCATGATGAAATACTCCAACTAATTTTCAAAAAGTAACAAGAGCTTGAATTCAAGAAGGAGTACACTATATTCTACCGATGAAGGTTAAAAATAATACTGACTGACTGACTGGCTGGCTGGTTGACTGGTTTCAACATAGAACATCGCATAGAACTGCACCACTTCAACTTATCACACGCCATGTAACACGCAAAAACGGACAGAAAAGAGACACAAAAAGGCAATTCAGAAGAACTATAGAAATGAATGTACGGGAGAAGAATTGAAAAAGTTACAAAGTGCAAAACCGCAACGTACAGTCAATAATAACAACACAAAAGAACGCTGAGATAAAGTAAAGTATAAATACACAAAACTAACCACCTACCCGAAGTTGATATGCTGTAAATTGATATTTCGATTCAATAATCTTTTTATACAAATACACCAGAGCATATTTCTCCCCGTCATCATCATGATTAGTAGTCATCGTCAATGGCATATCACATAACAATGGATGATGCAATAGGCCAAAACATATTTTACATATATAATCTTTAGAATAGGATTGTGAATGAAAGGCGGTTAGTAAATCACTTGGTTGGCAATGATAACCCTTAGTCAGGCGTAGAGCACAACATTTACAAATGCCAAAGTTGAGTATATACTTTTCTAGACAAGAAATAGCCTCATCGGACATTTTATCTATTGAAAAAAATAAATAAATAAATGGAAAACATTTTGTTAATTAAAACATCATTATATATACCTATTGCATAGTTGACACGATCAAAAATTAAAAAAATACTTCAGGATTTTGACTGTGAGGAGACGTTGCTCATCTACTTAAGCGCTCAACTTTCATTCAGTGTAGTCTGTCTGTCTGTTTTCGACATAGAACTCTGCACAGATGTGCACCAGTTCAAGTCGCCAAACTCCATATACCACAAAAAGCAGGAGAAGAAAGTAGAAGAAAGGCATAATAGAGACAGTAAACAGAGGTGTGAGACAAAGGAATAGCAATAACGAAGAACAAAACAGTTTCATTGGAAATCATAAGTCACAAGGAGTGGATGCATCTACGCCAGCCATCGAGAACGATTTTGAGCCATATCACCAATTGTTTCCAGCCTGACCCTATATCCGCTAACATTGCTCGTCGAGGAAGGCGATGACTAGTGACATGCGTGCGTAACACATGTCCTAACCATCTCAGTCTTTGTAACTTCACAACCTCGTCGATTGATTTCCCCTGTTTACCTAGCACTCGACCGAGGCCTAACCTCAATGTTGCTCACCCTATTACTACCACTTTACACGGGAAATAGAGCGCAGGCACCTATGATCAAAGACAGCTAATCTTTTCATGTCTTCCACTCTCAGTGGCCAGGTCTCACAGCCATAAAGGAGGACGGAGCGGACTGATGAGCAGTACACTCGTCCTTCGGTCGACAGTCGGATATCTCGTCTACGCCATAGACGGAGTAAACTGGTATATGCGAAACGAGCCCCCTGTATTCGTGCTGAGATTTCGTCACAGATCAACCCGTCGGGGCTGATGGTACTTCCCAAATAAGTGAAGCGACCAACGTGCTCTACCACTTCACTCCCTATTTCTAATCTAGGAGTCAGTGTAGTCCAGTCATGTAACATCATCTTGCATTTGGCGGGAGCGAATCGCATGCCAAACAATTGTAGATTGCGGCTCAAGGTGTAGGATTCTGAGTTCGAGTTCCATTCCACTTACAGCATAACATAATTAGTACTAACATACAGCATAGGTAGGAGAGATCATAGCCTGGTCGATGAAAGAACTGTTTCGGGAAACTAAGTTTTGACTAGGCGGCACTTCCAGGAGTCTGTAAATGACGTTATCGAACATGAGGCAGTGAATTTTGAAGTTTTTTGCCTACCATAAAGGTATATTTTTTTGTCTTTTTAATATATCTATGCGCTGAAGTTTCTATAGCAATTTAGTTAAGTTTTGGGGGTGGAGTTGCTAGCACAACACCTCAACCCTCCCTCTTTATCCGGGCTTGGGACCGGCTAGAAAACTAGCAAGCTATTAAACTGGGCGAGAAACACATTCATCATCAACCTGAAACCAATCTGGAAAACAATCTTCGTCACTCAGCCGGCATCAACAACAAAATTCGGTCGAATTTTCAATACAAACTTGGTCAAGTCAGTCATTTCTTCTATACAGATGAGAAACTTGGTGGGCGGGTCACAAAGAATATTTCCAACAGCCTGTTTCAGACAACAACTGTCTTCGCTGGAGCTATACTGAAGATCGGATGGCCGGGCCGGAAAGAATCACAGACAAGAAACTATGGAAACAAACAAAACAAGAACAAGCCAATCGCCCAAAAAATATGCAGGAGAAAGTGGAGATGGATGGATTGGACACTCCCTGAGGAGGCCGCTGGGTGACATCGCGCGCGCGTCAGGCCATTGCTCGTGTTGAACCAGGCCGAAAGGGAAGCGGCGAGTGGGACTTCAGTGGGAGGGTGACAAGGAGATCGTGTGAAGAGGAGCTGAAAGAGTATGGATCGACATGTAGGCAGGTGAAAAGTACAGCAGAAGACAGAAGCAAGTGGAGACGTGCATTTGATGCTCTATGTTCAACCAGGAACCGAAGGGAACAAAAATAAAAATAATGAAGGTATAACAAGTATGGCGTCTGTCTGGTGAAGGGGTCAATATATTTCTACGCAAAGAAAATTCCCCTACCATACATAAAAGATAACATTTCAGAAATCAGTGCAAAACTCTGCAAACCCTTAGGAATTGATGTCGCACACAACCCAACAAAATTACCTCCCTCACTCAGTCAGCCAGCCAACCCTGTGTCAACCAAAACACTCAACAGCGAAGGAAGATTAAAACCAACATCATCCACAAAATGAATTGCAACGATTGCGAAAAACACTAGATTGGCCAAAGTGGACGACGCCTTCTTCGTCATCATATCCATGAACGTAAACTAACTAGGCGTCAAAACACATGACATCCACTCCCTCACTCATATCGCCTAGCTGCATACAGACAACCACATACATCAATTAAACTGGGACAACCCAAACCAACTTCATATATTAGACAGAGCAAACAAAAACACCAAGAATGCCAGAGAATGGGTTTAGAAGATTGACTGGTGGTATTCCAGTGAATCGTCAATTAATAATAGACACACATTGACATACATAAAAAAATCGACCCATCGATAAGAAGGAAATCTCATACACGAAAGGTCAAACTTCGGGTCAAGGAAACAGTACTAATGTCGATACAAGTAGCCGCCTCTAGAGGGTGCATAAAAACACGCAAAAACAACGAATCACGTTCAAGGTCAGGTCACCAGGAGAGATGACTTATGGACTCGTGGAGAAATGTAAAAGCTCACTTCAAATTGAAGTATTATGCGCTAAAGATGTTGCCTAGTAGGGCGATGAAAGCTTTGCAAATAAACTATCCAGCTGCTCAGAGAACACAACTACACCAGAACTATCTGGACCCTCTACGTAAGGATTTGTTCAGTAAGGTACCATACTTCGCTGGATGTATCAAGGTATATGATAATATAATAAAAATACTAAATCGATAAGCATGTCCAAATGAATCACTCGTTATTATGAAGTCAAATATATAGTCCCATCGGATACGGCTACACTACTGTTACTAGCCGCAAAGCGCAGATGCAGTTCATTGGCTTAAGTGTTTAACATTCAAGGCACTCACTCACACAACTCACTTTCTTGCTTCATGTATACACACGAGTAAACATTGGTGATTACATATCTGAATAAAATCAGTAATATAAGATGATAAAGTACATTCGGAAATAATAATATTAGTCTTATCAATAAAATACAATCAGATGAGAAATAAAATGTTTTTATAGTAAAATAAATAAGTAACTTGTTAGAATGTTATAATAGGAATTGAAATACATTTCAAGATTATTTACTATGCTCTGATTTGACTGGTGGTAATAATATCTTCCATATCTCTGGTGTTTGCGTTGAGTCACTTCCTATTGCATGTGTTGTCTTGGATGTGTAGACTCGATGAATGAGGATTCAGTAATGAACCTCTGTCTCTCCCCTTCTTAGAATTTTTACTCTGCTCGCCCCACCCCTATTGTGTGTTAATGCATGCAGTGCAGTTACTGAGCTTTTTTCTAAATTACTCATCTTCGTGGGGTCAGTCATTTTAACCTTAGCTAAATTCTTATGCTCTGAAAATCTCACTACCCCCGATCTACTAGTTTGACCTATGTAGTTGACTTAATTCACAGTCATTGCAAGGTATTTTTTTTTAAAAACTATATTATTTTGTCTAATTGGGTCAACTGGGTCCTTTAACCTACAGAGCTTGTCTCTGAGTGTACTGAATTCACATTACAACATTCTAACAAGTTATTTATTTATTTTACTATAAAAACAGTTTATTTCCCATCTTATTGTATTTGACTGATAACATTAATATTATTATTTCCGAATGTATTTTATCATCTTATATTACTGATTTTATTCAATCAAATGTCTAATCGCAACAATGTTTACTCATGTATACAGATGAAGGAAGGAAGTTGTGTGAGTGAGTAACTTGATATGATTATGAGTGGCAATGATAAATTGTGCTTGAAACATGGTGGCATCAGTAAATATTACTTACTGTAATAACAACACACTGTGTGATTTTATCAAAATAACAAAATTTTATCCATCATTATGGAGTTATACTCTATCACGGTGCCCAAGTTTTAACCTTATATTAATGAATCCTTACTAAGCCAATATATTCGATACTCTGAATGATAAATTGTCATCAATATTGATCAGTTGCTTATTTGTATAAGGCGAATGTTACTGCAATAAACTTATCTTTATGGTTGTGAGACCTGACCACTGAGAGTGGAAGACATGAAAAGACTACCTGTCTTTGATCATAGGTGCCTGCGTTCTATTTCCCGTGTAAAGTGGCATAATAAGGTGAGCAACATTGAGGTTAGGCCTCCGTCAAGTGCTAGGTAAGGAGGGGAAATCAATCGACGAAGTTGTGAAGTTACAAAGACTGAGATGGTTAGGACATGTGTTACGTATGCCAAGCCATCGCCTCCCTCGACTAATGGGCAATGTTAGCGGATATAGGGTCAGGCTGGAAAAAAGCTAGCGGCGGTCAAACAAAAACTTGGCACCAGTCAATGAAATCCACAACAGTTAGTCTAAGCCACGTAGGAAGGTGTAGACTGGCTTCGTGGTTGGGGTCCTCGGGACGGTAAAAATCTATGGTTGGAAACAATTGGTGACATGGCTCAAAATCGTTCTCAGTGGCGTAGATGCATTCACTCCTTGTGACTTATGATCTCCAATGATACTGTTTTGTTTTTCTTTATTACTTCTTTGTCTCACACCTCTGCTCACTATTTCTATTATGCTTTTCTTGTACTTTCTTCTCTTGCTTTTTGTGCTACACGGAGTGTGGCGACTTGAACTTCCGCACATTTGTGCAGAATTCTATGTCGAAAACAGACAGACAATAAACTTATCTATCTGGCTCTACTTCAGAAGTCCACTCACCATGTAGGACTTTTTAGCTGGATGTATCTTCCTAATGCATTGGATACTTAAACCCCATCGTTCTCAACTTGACTATTCAGTCGTAGCCAAGACACCATCGTAGAATAGAGTTAAC